ACTCAAAAAGCCAAATTTTCTGCTGCTAGAGCAGTTGCAGGCTGCTGCCCTCTGCCCGGCCCCGCAGCACACGTTCTTCACAAAACACGGTGCTCATTTGACACAGTGTCCTACAGGGCCTTTGTTTATTTTGGAAGTGGCCGGCTTTGAATCTGGAGAAACAACGTAAGGGCTCAGACCTGACTCTTGTATTTGGGGGCGCTGATCTGGTTTTGCGATGGTTCTTTCTCTGTCTTCCTGTCCTGCTATAGGAATGTTGGTCACCTCTTTCTTAATGAGTGATCAGAGGACAGATTACTCCACGTGTTAGGAACGTAAAGCGGTAAAGAAGTACTGAAATGGAAGGTCCCTACTCATAACACGGCGTTTGAGTGGTGGTAGACAGCGTTTGTGATGACACTGGTTTTCGAGCACATTTAGCTCCAGTTCAGACCTGGTTTCATTCGGTCCATGTTCCAGCGTACGGCGGGAGCCTCACCAGGTCCTCACCAGGGCACTGTGTAGCAGATGCCAACTTTTTTTTTTTTTTTTTAACTTTATAATTTTGACAGTGGTAGCATGTTTTAAAAATACTTCTAAAGTATACTAGCATTAACCAGGTTTTGGGTGGCTGGAGTCTCCTTCTAGAGATAGTTTTTAGGTTCTTTCTGCACTGAACAAAGAATTGGTCAAGTGAAAAAGATAGCAGGGTTTTTACATTATTGCAGGTAGGAAAAGAAAGGTGCTCTGCAGAGTGAGTTTGGGCCAAGTAAAAGTAGGGGAACATACACCGTACAGTGTGAGGGTGGACTCTTGTCCATGGAAGAGAGAACACAGGGCAGAGCTCAGTGGCAGCTGTCCTTTTGTGTATCCTAGTCCTCGGGCTTGACATCAGGTCTAGATCACCCTGTGTAAAACATGCTCAGGGTCTCAAAGAGGAGTCCATACGCAGGGCTTTGGGAGCTGTTGTGCGCTTAAGGCGTCCTTCTCCAGCCAGTCTGCCACGCCCTGATCTCCTGCCTCACCAGTGCATTCATTTTCCTTTTACAAATTAAAAAAAAACAGTTTGTCCTTCCCTTCCTGCTTCCTCCCCACCACACAATCCACTGTATCTGTTTTAAACAGATGTTGTTTAATTCTTTTCCAAAGTCGGGGAGGGAGTTTTCCTCCTTTATACCTTTCGGTAGTAGAGGTCATCGTCCTTTCTTCCCTGGGCGGGGTGAGGTGCCTCAGTACGGTCAGCGCACCACACACAGGAAGCATTGGGCACCGTGCCATGAAGCTGGATTATCCAGACATCCTGCCCAGCTTTTAGCACAGCACTTCGTGCCCCTGCCTGTGCTAAGTGGCCAGATGCTTCTTCAGTTCATGCTGGCTGTGGGGGTTGTTGGAGGAGACCGAGGAGGGAATCTCCCCACTCACCCTGAAACCAAAGAAGTCTGCTTGCTAGGAGGAATCGAGTTAGGAAGGAGGGTGCAACAGAATGCAATCAAAGGCCTAAGCTAGCCTTTGCAGTCTGGAAGCAGGAATAGCAGTAGTTTTTAAAATCTCTGGTAAACTGGTGCTTTTTCAAAATAAATTCATGGCACTAGCACAAATAATGAAAATTTCTCTCTTTAAAAAAGAATGTTTGCTTAATCTCGGAGGAAGAGAGAACAGCACAGCAACACAAAACAAGTAACAGCACGGTCTGATGAGAGGTGTGAAGGGTTTCAGCTCTTCCCCTCGGACACTGCCTGTGGAGCTGAGCCCATAGTTGCACTCATAGAAGATTGGAGAAAATGAATCATACACTGGAGAAGTGCAAATCCGAAGGACTCTTAGTTACATGAAGTTGTAAAACAGTGAAGCTAATCTAAACAAGTGTTCTCAAGTGTTCTTAATCTTGAGCATCCTGTGGAATATGCGTGTTGAATCTGGAGGTGTGTGGATCAGTGACAGATGTACATGTGTGACCTGTGATTTTACATGTACTTCTACATGTGAAACCTGTGGTGTTTATCTATTAAAGATTGCAGTGCTAGCAAGGTAAGATTTAAGAGAGGTGGAGGGTGCCTTTTTATAGAGTGAACAGAGAAGTCTTTAATGAAATAGCCTTGAGCAGAGACCTGAATAAAATAAGAGAAGGAGCCATTTGGAATGTGGACAATGGCAGGGAGTAGGGTTTTAAGTAGAAGTGATTTCAAGTGTAAAGGCCCTGTGGCCAGAGCATGCCTACCATGGAGCTCAGTGGGACTTAAGAGGGATGACCAAAAAGGATAGTAAAACAAGGGCAGAATTTTGGCTTTTTTCCAGAGTGATATAGGAAAGTGCTAGAAGTTAGTTTGATTGATTGATTTTGGTGGGGTACCTGGGATCGAACCCAGGACCTTGCACTTGCCAGGCAGGTGTGGCACCACTGAGCTACATCCCTGGCCCAAAGGTTTTTTGTTTTTTGTTTTGTACTGGGTATCGAACTCAGGACTTTCCGCTTGTGAGACAGGCATGGCGGCACCACTGGGCTAAATCCCCAGTCCCTGAAGGTTTGTTTTACTAGTGACCTAATCTGACTAATCTTTCTGTTTTCTGGGAAAGTTGAGCAAATATGTAAAGATGTCAACTCAGAGGTGATTTCGATCATCTCAGTGGAAAGTGATGGCAGCCAGGTCAATGGAGGTGGTGAAAAGGGACTTCAGGAGATCCAGAAAAGTTTAGGAAGATGTTGGGGACTGAAAGTTCCATCCGATACGTGCGGCTGTGTTGCCTTTCAATCTCCACGCAGACACATCGCTCAGGTCTGAGGCAGTTGTTTCTGCGGATTGGCCAAGAGGCCTGTTGGAGCTGAGCTGCGGCCATGCCTGGTGTGGAGGAGCCTGGAGAGGGATGCGTTGGCGCGGTTAGAGCCTCAGGTGTGCTGGTGGGCATGGGTGTTGGGCTCTTCTGACTGTTTCTCGGTGCCACCAGGGCCAGCTCAGCCAGGCAGCTGTGTGAGGAAAGAGTGGGCACAGGCATCGAAGTTGTGTGCTGTGAGAGACTACGGAGCTGGGGCTGGGTGCAGAGTCACAGGGCTTGGGCAGAGCGGAAGGGGCTCATCCCCGTGGGAGGCAGGGTTGCTGCGGTGTGCAGGGAGGGAGCTGCACAGTTGGGAAGCGATGGCTGGAGAGCAGGATGCTTAGGGTTGAGACCGGAAAGTGGAGCCCATATTGGTGACAAGTCAAGGCTTGACCCGGGCATGGGTGGCTGTGGTCAGGCACAAGACAAAGCCAGTGGAGCAGAATCCCAGTAACTGTGAGGCCAAAGAGCTGGAAGGGTCCTTAGAATCAGTAATGAAATGAGTATGGGCCAGGGGTCCCAGGAGACCAGTGGAGGGTGTGAGCCTGGCTGCTGAGTCTTCAAGCACCTGTGAGCTATAGAAGATTGAAGAGGGGTGTGGTCAGCTGTAGGAGCCTCAAGAGGCATTGAAGCAGGGCAGGGGGAGTAGCCAGGGGCCAGGGCTAAAATAAATAGCAAGCACCTCAGCTAGATTGGGGGGGCGTGGAGTGCACAGGCCCTGTGAGAGTGGCAAAGCACCTGTCACTACATTCAGCCGCAGACAGGGAAGGGACCGTTAGGGTTCAGGTTCATCGGGACAAGAAACTAAAATCATAGTTGCCAAGGGCTGAGGCATGTGGAGAAAATGGTGAATCAGTGCTTAGTGGGGTTTCAGTTGGGATAATGAAAAGCTCTGGAGCTGTGTGGGTGGTGGCAGCTGCACAGCAGTAGGATATGGTTGATGCCACTAGATTGCACACTTCAAATGGTTTTGTCTATGGCCTGAGCATCTGCGCTCATCCAGCCTTGGAAGCTAAGCAGGGTCAGGCAGAGGGGCTGTCATCTTTAAAAATAAATAAGTAAAAAAGAAATGTTCAATTTTATGTTATATTTTACCCATCTATTGGTTCTTTGAGACAGGGTCTCACTGCATAGTCCGTGGTGGCCTCGAACTTGGAATCCTCCTGCCTCAGCCTCCTCAGTGCTGGAATGACAGGCTCCTATGGCTGATTTTTGTGTTTTACCACATTTAGGAAAAAAAAAAATGGTCCAAAGGGAATGAGGAAGATAAGTGGGGCTGTTGGACCTTTGAGTCCTGGTGGAGGCAGAGGCATGAGAGGCCTGGGAAACTCACCATGGTTTTGCCTTTGTGGAGAGGGGAGGATAGCAGGGCTGCAGACCCAGGGGCTGGCTCCATTGTCCCCATGTCTGCAGCACATCATGGGTGCCCTGCTCTGAGGCTTCTTCCCTGGGACCCAAAGAACAAGAGGGTTCTCTGTTACTCTGCATCTTTGTTGCCCTAGAGTCTGGCACATGGTATACATAAGTTGCGAATATACATTTGAATGGGTAAAAAATGAATTCTACCCAGAGAATGAAAACACCAAGTAAGAATTTAATGGCTTTGTTGAAAATCCAAATAAATTCTCCCCCAAAATGATAAAGAATGAAAAGAAACTAGAGGTGATTTCTAGAGAGAAAGAATTTTTAGCAAAGGTACCAGAGTATCTACTGTGAAATGGAAGTTTTAGACTGGAAAAAATAAATTCATAAACAGAAGGCTACAGATGTGTAGAGTTACTTGAATTGAGATTTGTTCTCACCTATATAGTTGATTCCACAGAGATTATGTGATTTAGAGGTTGATTGTCCTGTGGTAAATAAAGTTGATGAGCTTTGTAAAACATTAAGGTTGGTCATTCATTCATTCATTGTAAACTAAGCTCAAAGGGTTGAAACCCTAATACCCTCTTCAGATAATAAGTTTGTCCTTCCAAATTACAGATGCCAAATGAAAGATCTCATTCATCCTGTTGTTGATGCTTACATGTTTGCATATTGTGTTTTTTCCCCTAAAAGTTGCCGTGGGCTGCCTTTGAAGGTTTTCACCAGGCATCAATTATCTGTGGACAAGTCAGCGGAGCAAGAGAGATCAGTGGTCTCTTGCATCGTGAACGTGTTCTCCGCTACCAGACCATTGTCATGCCCCATTCTTCTTGTTGTCGTTTTAGTGACAGCTATATTGTGCGCGTCAAGGCTGTGGTTATGACCAGAGATGACTCCAGCGGGGGATGGTTCCCACAGGAAGGAGGCGGGATCAGTCGTGTGGGGGTCTGTAAGGTCACGCACCCCGAAGGCAATGGACGAAGCGGCTTTCTCATCCATGGTGAACGGCAGAAAGACAAACTGGTAATGGCAGATGCACAACATGTGTTTTATAAAATACTAATGACTGCTTTCTTTGCACAAAATGGCAGCCCTTTTCGCTTAGGGCTTTTGTTTTTATTTTGATTTTTAGTTTTCTTTGACTTCAAACAGTTGCAAAAAACTTCCAAAGTTAGAACTGTGGAGCTGGTGCCAGAATCCCCCCCCCCCCCCCCCCCAAAAAAAACCCCCCCCCACTCGCCCTTTGGTACCACGGATCAAACTCAAGACCTTGCGTTTGTGAGGCAGGTGGCGGCACCACTGCACTAAATCCCTGGCCTTTTCCTTTCCTTTTCTTTCCTTTTCCTTTCCTGTTCCCTACCCACCTGCCCTCCCCTCCCCTTTCCCAAAACTTGAAACATAATACTCTAGTGCAGTCTTCTTTGACCACACTCAGATGCTCATCTGACTCAGATGCTTAGAAGCCTTGCTGTCTTGTTTGCACCTTTGATTAATCAAGATGTCTTTTCTTTCTGTTACTGTAACATGATATTCAGAACAGAGGTGTGCTCTTTATTTTAGCAAGTCACGTAATCACAGTAAACTGTCAAGCCAGAGTTTTAAGAACATAGGGTTTATTCACGGAGCCTGCCATTAAGGTTTGGGTGGTGGAAGGCAAGGTGCAAAGGCAAAACATCGCCTGACATTTGGCGTCTTTGAAGTAAATGTTTATCAAAAGATATTGCAGCTTTCATAATGGGGAAAACCTGTTTAGAAAAATTAAGTAGTGATAGCACAATTCCAAGATAATTGTTCATGCATATAAATAGTACTTGAGAACGATCTTTGCCTCACAAGAATGGGGGGATTGATCGTTCCTAACATACCTTCTCGTGAAGGAACTTGGATATCCACTCGTATGAATAGAACGCCCAACTCTATTTAAAATGAATGACCTTAAACATGGATAATTGCTCCTGTCTGTTCTTGATCATGAAATGTATATCGACAAGCCAGGGGATGGATGACTTGAAATGTGCAGGAGTGTACAGATCTCACAGAAAGTGCAGCAGTATGAGAATGTGGTGGTGGTGCATTGGAGACCCTTTACAGTGGCATTTGTTGAGTTTTATGTCTTAACTCAGCAAAGTTAATCTACATTTGCAACCATTTCTTATAGTTTAAAAAACTTATAAAATACATATGAGAGAACAATTTGTAAATGTACATATGGATCAACAGAAATGTCATTTTGCTACTTGATTTGTTTCTGGAAATCCAGAGGGAGACTACAGCTAATTTTAAAAAGTATTCAGGAAATTCTCTAGGTAATAATCAAATAATTAAAGTATTCTTCTTCAGGATGTTTTTGCAGTGAAGGTAGTGTAACCACATTCTCAACAACGTGAAATAACCGTCATTGATCTAGCCTTCATCGTGTACTAAATACAATGTTAGACCATTGGTTAGGTTGTGTCAGTGTGTATTGCAGCCTGGATAATTATAATTGAAGAAATTGGGATTCAGAGTGATTTCTCTCACTCTCTCTCTCTCTCTTTTTTTTTTTTTTTTGGTTTTTTGAGACAGGGTCTCACTATGTAGTTGAGACTGACCTGGAACTCACTATGTAGCCCATGCTGGTCTCCAACTCACAGCGATCCTCCTGCCTCACTCAGCCTCCCGCCTCCCGAGTGCTGGGATTACAGGCGTGCACCACCACACCCGGCCAGAATGATTCCTCTTCTGCCAACCATCATGATGCAGGCGTATAATCCCAGCTACTCAGAAGGCAAGGCAGGAGGATCGAAAGTTTGAGGCTACCCTGGGCAACTGAGACCGTGTCTCAAAACAAAAATAAATATTATTTTTAAAAGGCTGATAACATGTTCTCCTAGCATGTGTAAGGTCCTGGGTTTAGTCCCAAATATTACCAAAAAATAAAAATCAAAATTTTGCTTGTACTTGTGAGGCTTGGACCCAGTATTTGCTGACCTGTCACACTGACTCCTAACCAAACCAGAAAGAATACTTCTGCTCACAGGAGGGTATGTGCGGTGTGGAGCTCTGTGAAGTGGGTTGCTACTGAGGGAAGCCCTCTAAAAGGTAGAGTGACACGGGTGCCAGGCCTGTCCCGATCCATTGGGTGACAGTGTCAGACTCCCCGGCATTCCAGCTGGGGCACGATGTGCTCTCCCTGTTAGACTAGCATTGTGGTCAGTAGGTATTCAGGGTAGTGCAGTTCTAAAATTCACTGTGTTGTTGTTGGGGTTTTTGTTGTTTATTTGTTTATTTTTAGTTACATATTGGAACCTGTGAGCTTAACTATCACTGCTTCTATGGGAAAACAGACACGTTTCATTCACAAGTAGTTATTCACATAGCTTTTGGTAAGCTGAGGACGGTTAAGTTTTCAATAGAAGTTATATGTAAATTAAAACTTTCTGAATTTTGAATCTTATTTTAGATGGATGAGGAGTTTTTACCCTAAACAAGTCCTGTAAAAAAACACCTTATGAAGAAGAACTAAAAAACAGTATAAAAAACAAAAAACTTGAGAGTTGACAATCCCAGTAGTTGCCAATGTGTAGGTCAGGAACCATTCTCACACAAAAACTTGGTGGAAATTTGAGCTGACAAAGTTATTTAAAAGGCAGTTTGGCAGGATTATAATTTAACTTTTTAAAATTATTCTTTCATTTTTAATTTTTGCTAGGATTTTATTTTTTATTCTTTTATTTATTGATGGGTTTGTTTGTTTGTTTGTTTTCCGGTATGGGGATCGAACTAGGGACCTTGTGCTTGCAAGGCGCCACCACTTGCAGGTGGCAGAACCACTGAGCTAACTCCCAGCCCTACATGTTTAACTTTTTAACTGGCAGTTTTCATCTAGAACACTATCTTAAAGAAATAGACATGCACAAAATTTTTGACAACAATAGTTCTTAAACTTTTTTGGTCTCAGGATCCCTTTACTGTCTAAAAATTTATGGAAGGGCTGGGGATTTAGCTCAGTGGTTCCAGTGCCTGCCTCACAAGCACAAGGGCCTGAGTTTGATCCCTGGTACCAAACATAAAAATAAAAAATAAAACTTTATGGAGAATCCTAAAGAGGCTTTCTTTGTTTTGTTGAGTTACAGCTACTACTATTATTTCTGAAATTAAAACTGAAAAAATTTTAAGCTCTTAAGTAATATTATTAACATAAATGACATTTTTTTCTGACAACTATATATTTTGCAGAACAAAAGAAATATGCAAGAAGAGTGCTGTTGCTTGATATTTTTGGAAATCTTTAGTGTCTGGCTTAATAGAAAAGAACTGAATTTTAACATCCACTCCTGCTTTTAAAATGTACCATGTCTTTTTTGGCAGGGGTCCCGGGGATCGAACTCAGTCCCTTTGCTTCCAAAGCAGGCACTGGAACCACTGAGCTGAATCCCTGACCCATGCACCATGTCATTTTGGTTAAAGTATGTGAGGATAGGTAGTTGGAAAAAGGAGAAATATTTTAATTGCCCTTTCCCAATAATTTTAGATCTTTGATACTACATCAGAACTCTACCAGTAGCAGTTTCTTAAATGAGGAATCTGGAACCATCAATATGAACTTTTCATATTCTCTTATGTACATATCCACAAATGACTGTTTTTCTTCGGCCGGATTTTGTAGCACCATGCATTAGTCATCTGGAAAAGAATAGTTTACTTTAAAAAAATTTTTTTAAATGCTGGTTTACTGAGTTAAGCATATCTGCCAAATGTTGTCACAATTCATTATAAAAAAAATTTACTTACTATCATTAGTGATCTTACTAGAAAATTATTTAGGCAGGATATGGTGGCACACATCTATAGTCCTAGCACTCCAGAGGCTGAGACAGGAGGATCACCACAATTTCGGCGTCAGCATGAACTACATAGCAAGACCCTGTCTCCAAACATCAAAAGAAAGGAGAAAGTGTTTAAGTATTAGGAAGTTGTCCAAAACTCAGATTTTCACTTGAAAGTTCAAATTTTATTACTACCAACAAATTCCTGAAGTTGTTCTTGAAAGTGACAAATTTATTTTGTTCATTTTCAAGAAAATGTAGGGCTGGGGATTTAGCTCAATGGTGCTGCCACCTGCCTTGCAAATGCAAGATCCCAAACTGGATCCCCAGTACCAAAAAAAGAAAATGTCTACCAAACAGTCAGGTGTGATTAGCCATAGCTGGCCATTCTTTTAGTAAAAATACTGGTCTAAGAAACCAGAAGCCACACAAACTGTGTAATCCCAGCATTTTGGGAGGCTGTGGTAGGAGGGTCATGAGTTCGAGCCCAGCCTTTGAGATTTAGCCAAGACACTGTCTCAAAATTCTTAAAAAAACAGTTGGAGCTGTAGCGTAATTCAATCCCCAGAGCTGCAGAAGAGGGGAGAGAAAGGAGGGAAACGGGGGGCAGTTAGTTCAGCGCACAGCTGAAACAGTCTAACGAGTACTTTTCCTTGAGACAGTCGTCCTTCACATGCAGCAGGAGAGAGAAGCTATCAGAAATGGCTTCCTCTTCCCAGGCGTGCATTTGTGGGAAGCCAGGCTTTCTTCCTGCACTTAATCAGAGCAGCTATGACAGCAGCTCACATATACAACCTGATGTGAGAACCCAGTTAGGTGCCTTTTCCAGTAGAGAAAAGGACGTGCGTTCAATGGCCAAGGTCTAATCAAATAATATTTGCTTCATTAAAAACATTCCTGCTTAAAACTGGCATTTCTAACTGAGACCGTGAGGATGAATCGAATGCCTTTTGTATAAAAGGCACCACCAGAAATGTCAGCAAGGCTATGGTGATAAAAGTAGTTCTCCCATCTTGGTCCTCTGAAAGGGGCTGGAGACGGGAGGAGGCTCCCAGAGGCCCACAGACCAAGCTTTGAGAACTGTTAAAAGTGTAAGGATGTTGACTGCAGTGTTGTCTAAAAGTGACCAATTACAGGTTCCCCAAATGTCCACTAGTTTAGAGAATGGTTCAGTAAACCCGCTATTTCCATACTGAGAAATAACAGCCATTGAAAAGAACCATTATATATTATCTCCCTATAGTCCAAGACATGTTTTCTTGTTTTTGTTTTTGTGTTTTGATGCTGGGGATCAAACCCGGGGCCTCATGCATGCTCAGCACATGCTCTACCACTGGACCACACCCCCAAACCCTGACATGTATTTTGGGGTATTGTTGAGACAGGGTTTCACTATTTCAGTCAGGCCTTGGACTCACTACGTAGCCCAGGCTGGCCTTGAACTCGCAGCAATCCTCCTGCCTCAGCCTCCTGAGTGCTGGGATTACAGGCGTGCACCACCATGCCCAGCCCTAAGACATGTTTTTAAGGAAAATAAAAGGCAAGTTGCAAAACAGTTCGATGTGTGAGTGTGACTAGTTTAAATGCACTTACACTAAACTTCTGTGTATGTCTGGCAGTGGATAATTCAAGAAATGGTGGAGGCTCTGATGGGAAGAGAGAGTGAAAAGCGTAAGATAGGAGCCTCCCTAAATATATCTAAATTACTTAACTCTTTCCCATATATATTTGTGTTGATATTTTTAACGCCTCCAACAAGAATATGATCACTTTTTCTTTCCCTGCATGTTATTTAAAAATACCTTTTTTTAACCTTTCTCTTGGTGTGTGTTAATTGTATGTATCCCAAAACTTCGCAGAAGGTTTTTATATTACATTGATTAAAGCATCTGAACTTTTTCATTTTTGCTGTTAAACTTACCTATGTAACGATGTTAATTTGCTTCAGAGAACATAAAGAGATGATACCTGATTTCTCTCCCTCACCTCAGTTAAGTGGTTGAGCTTTAAGTAATTTAAGAAAACATACCTTTGTAATCATTTTAAAGTTGGACAATGTCAACCAAAGACTCATTTTTTTTTTTTTTCACTTTAAAAGTATGGAAGGGCTGGGGATTTAGTTCAGCAGTTCAGTGGCCTGCCTTGCAAGCTCAAGGACCAGAGTTCAATCCCCGGTAAAAAAAAAAAAAAAGTATGGAAAAACTGAGTCTTTGTTTTTGCAAAACATTTATTTTGAGACTTTAAATTGAGACTATTAAATTCTAAAATAGATAACATTTGTTAGTTAAAGCCCTGGTTATTTGTATTTCCCCAATTTGGAATGGGGCTGGGCTGACATTTAATCATTGTACTATTCTTAGGGGGAAATGTTCACAATAAGCAATTTAATCATAAATAGAATTGTATAAGGGGACTGTTGTCCACTTTGAATCCAGTGTTATAAAGTTAACTGCTTGAGACTGCTATTTAATATACCAATTTGAGTATTATTACTTATTACACAGCATTTAATTTCTTTTTGCTTTGGTATATCTTGAAATTTATAGTTATTTAAGCACATTCTTTAAAGTTACATTCATTCAAGCAAACCTTTTCACTTTGTACAAATTAACAAGATCACGCTGTGTTAATTGGGAAGCTTTCCCAGAAGAAGATCAAGGCTATTAAAACTAAAAAAAAAAAATCTTTAGTGTTTATAACGAGTCATAGGAATAAAAATTGTAAATAGTTTTGGTTTTTTATGAAGAATGAGCTTTATGTCACATGATTTCAGTGCTTCTTTTATTCTGTAATATTATGAAACTGGTGTAAAAAAAATCAACAGTAGCACTGTACCAGACAGTTATTTTATGAAATGTCTTGACCTTTAGTTAAGGAAACAAGATTACTGCACATGAAACTGCTAGGATAATGTAAAATCAAGTACTGAATGGTAAAGGTAACAAGAACAACCTCGTAAAATACAAGGCTGGTAAAGTACAGCTTGTGGAACAAACATTCCCAGTGGGAATGAGTGGGACCCTGTTGGGTTTCTCATGTAGTCAATGTTTTCAGAGCATGGTCTCCTCATTGATAAGTTTGGTGTTATTTTCATTTTGGCAGTGAAAGGATCGATCAGTTTTAGCTTAGCAGAAAGCAGTTGTGAGACTAGTTTGGTTAAAAACTTGGAGATTTTTCTAATAATCCAAAGATGAAGTAAATAGATCCCAGGTCAGTGTGGTAGCAACTGAAATGGAGTTGATATAAAAGATGTTACAGAATAAATGAAATGGACTTGTTATTAATTGTACAAGGGGATAAAGAAAGCAGAGGCGGTGGCCTGGGATCTGGCTCAGTGGTTCCGCTGCCTGCCTTGCAAGCACAGGGACCCAAGTTTCATCCCTGGTACCACACAAAGAAAAGACGGCAAAGGTGACCACAGAAAATTTGAGCCTGAGAAAAGGAACAGAGAAGGATTGGCATTGCCAGATATGCGGAAGTTGGGAGAGGAGAATAGTGGCAGAAATTTCAGAAAGTAGTGGACTTTTCACTTTGTTGAATTTAGGGTCACAGACAGATGCACATTAGGACAGGACAGGGAAGACTGAGGGACATCAGTACCAAGGCCCCAACACGACTCTGGCCCTAGATCAGTGCCTGGGCTTAGTGCTCCACAATCGGGGCAGAACGAAGAGCGCTGAGAGGGAGGAGAAGAATGCTAGGACTGGGGTTCACAAGCGCTTGAGGGCAGGGGCAGCAAACACGTGTCAGTTGCCTGCACTCGTGTTTGCACCTAGATTTCTGTAAGCAGACACCATCATGGCTGTTCTGCAGGTAACCAGCCTGTGTTTCAATCCTTCAGGTTGTACTGGAATGCTATGTAAGAAAGGACTTGGTCTACACCAAAGCCAATCCAACATTTCATCATTGGAAGGTCGATAATAGGAAGTTCGGACTTACTTTCCAAAGCCCTGCTGATGCACGAGCCTTTGACAGGGGAGTGAGGAAAGCCATCGAAGACCTTATAGAAGGTATTGGATTTGTCACTGCACTCTTAGTGGGGCTATGGGAATGCTCCAAATTATTTTTTCATTCCAACAGTCTGCCATCATGTATTCATGGTTTCTTGCAGGAAGGGGCAGCAGGCAGGTCGGTAGTTGTCCAAACCTCCAGAACATCTCGGAGAGTAATTAACACAACAGTGCAGGGAGAAAGGAGCTGGGCTATACAGTAAGGAGCGATCCCATGCGGCCTTTGGACTGCTCTGAAAAGACAGGCATTTCAGGATTTCTATATGAATAACTTTTTAATTGATTTCACCTTGTTCTGACAGTTGCACTGGTCTGGACAGTCTTGGCTCAGAATTGGGGATGGATTCAGGAACTCAGATTGCCCAGGTCTGCCCACTGTTGGGAAATCAGAGCCCAGGGTACACAGGGAAAGAATCTGTTCTGGGAATGCTGGTTTGCTGTGGGCTGTGCTCTATGGGCAAGCAGTAGGTGTTGTTAGCATCTGAACTGGCCGAGAAGGGCCTCAGGGCATCTCTGCAGTTCACAGGTTCAAACAGACAGATTCTGCACTTAGCATGGCCAGCAAAGCAGAGGGTTGAAAGTGCCGTGACCAGCTGCACGCAGTGGCGCACGCCTGTGATCCCAGCACTTGGGAGGCCAAGCCAAGAGGATTGCCCTGAGTTCGATCGAGGCCAGCCTCGGCTACATAGTCAGTTTGAGGCCTGTCTGAACTACATGTGGAGACCCTATCTCGGAATGAATGGATGGATGGATGAATGCCATGTCTAGAGCCCTGGGAAAAAGGAAATATCAAGCCGGCATGATAATGAATCACACGGGAATGCGTGGTTTTTTGCTTAAGAAATGAAACTATTCTGAAGATAAAAGCAAATCTTAAAAATCATTTTACCTTAAAATTGTACTTAAGACAATTCTAGATAGGACATGGATCCATTAATGACAACCATAAGATAGCCAAAAGACATAATTAAAAACCAGTGTTCACATCACTGGCCTAAAATGTGGCAAATATCTTAAATATTGATACACAGCTTTTAAATTTCCCTTCTTTCCTTTCCCCACCCTTCCCACTTCCCCTACTCCTTTAACCCTTTTCTTCCTATTAGAGAGAATATAGCTCTTACGTTATCTATAGTAGCAAGTCCTGAAAGATCACTAGGAATTACACAAATAGTGCTGTGGGACTGCTGCTTTTCCTCCTGCAACAACCCCTCATTAGACATTTAAGTACGCATCATCCCCCTCTGGGCAATCCTTTTAAAGTCCTAACCTGCGGGGGGATAAATTTCTTTTAGTGAGTCTATTGCTTAGACAGATTTAAATATTTTTCTTTTGATTATTCATTTGATAAATTGTGCTGATCCAAGGCTGGGACTGTCCGGCTGTGCCTGCAATGCCCTGCAGTTGCTCTGTGCCAGGGGTCATGGGTGCTGGCATGGCTGTCCTCCTCCTTCTGATCCTTCTTGTGCAGTCCGGGAGCAGGGCTGAGACGAGCACCGCGGAACCAGAGTGTCCTCAGTGCCTGTGCCAACCAGTGTTAGAATTCAGTCCTGTAACTAGAACCCAGCCCTGTATTGGGACTACCAGATCATGCCCCAGACTCCTGTTCTTACTGTAGAGGAAAACATGGATATGCACCTGCAACAATACATCTGCTCATCACTGCAATATTCTTAACGTGATGACCCAGGTCTTCCTATTTGGGCTAAAGTTAAAGCTAGAATTGGACAAAAAGAATCTGCTTATGTACAGTCCAAAAATTGACATTTGCAAAGAAGGAAAGGTTGGGCCACCTAACCTAACTGTTACACAGGAGGAAGACCATATCATCGTTGATGTAGTTGACCCAGTAGTTCACTTCATTGGAGAAGAGTAGAGAGCCATGTATGATGCATGTTACACATTCATCTACAAAGTGTGTGTGAGAAGACACAAGTGAGACCGTAACATGAACTTGCAGGAGATGACTGCCTCCTCACTCCATGCCGGCTAAAAATTCCAGAGCCCTCACTGAATTCTGAGTACTTTATTTCAGCAGAAGGAGTCTCAACGAATTGGGAGATGACAGCTGAAAGATCAGAAGAAGGTTGTATTACCATTTGTAATATTTGGATTCCGATGATTGTTGCCTCACTACTCTTCCTAGTATTTATCCTAGTATTTGCATATTGTTATTTTAAGAAGGAACCATGTAAGAAGAAAAGCATAATGTTACCCAAATCTTTACTCTCAGTGGTAAAAAGTTTTACATCGCAGACGAAACTCAAATTGAAATATGTCATTCGTCTCATCGTATCAGCTGATCGCCTTGGAAAACAAGGCCGTGGTCTGTGGAGAGGAGGTGACTGCAGGGACAGTGCTGGGCACATGCACTAAAGGCGGCGGGGGAAGAGAGGGGCATAGCGGCGAGCTTTCCACCGAGATAGAGGCGCTGGCGCCGGGTGAAAGCGGTTCCGACCTGGTGCTGACAGAATTCTGTGCATTCAAGTAGTAACCAGTCAGAACCCTGCAGCGTATTCGTAAGCTCCTATCGCTCCCAAAATGGCTCTGATAGTCGCCTTGTGGGTTCAGAGAGCTTCATATCTGACTCAGAAATCCCCCAGGCAATAAAATGGAAATAAAGACAGGAGGAAAAGAGCTCCTCCGTCATGCGTGCGGAGGAGCGCCCCCACCTCCGTTGGTTAAGATAAGCCACACGTGCTGGTGGATGTGCTGGTAGGGGATGGTGGTGGCAAAAAGACTTTGGTTTATTATACACTTACAACAGATTCCCAAGAGTTTTCTTGAGAAGACTGAAATGCAGTATCTTCGCAGAGTCTGATTTTCCTGCTTCGATCTTGTTGCAAGATCATGAGCTCAGAAATGGTGTCTTAGTTGACATTAAGCAAATGGAGTGAAGTGGTCTGGACGGATGTGGAAAGAGCCTGTTGATGCCATCGCGTTCCTTCTGAAAACTAGAGACTCTTTAAAAGCCAACCTAAACCTGCTGGGGGGTTAGCAGTAACGGTGAATACTTTCCAGTTAGCGCTGCTTCCTGTGGTAATGGGGTACTTCATTCTCATCGCTCCAAGAGATGTAATGGGTTTTTATTTTTGTTTTGTGTTTTGAAACGTCTTTGTTTTTAAATAAAGGGGCCTTGCTGTATTTTCCAGGCTGGCCTTGAACCCCTGATCTTCCTCCCTCAGCCTCCTCAGTGGCTGGGATTACAGGCATGTGCCACTGCACCTGCTGTATATATTTTTAGTTACTCATTTTGGAAGAAATTCTGAATGCTGTTCAAAATTGAATTTAAAACCTAAGTGTATACTAATGCAGTATACAAGTAAAAACATATATAGATTTTTTTATGGACTTAGTTGTTTTGAAATAAAGTACTTTAAAAACTTTATTAAAAAATTGCCTTGATCCACACATTGCTGGGTACTATTCATGGAAAGAGTGGGGCAGTTACACTGATTAACCAGATGGAGGAAGTAAGTTGAACTTTAAAGAAAACAGTTTTATGATACAATAAGCTGGAATTTCTGACAGGAACCTTAATTTTGACGTGGAAAAGCAAATTCACTGAGGCTCTGGCATTGTAAGAGAAAACCTTGCCCGCTGCCTGGGTCTCCTTAGCCAGTCACTGGCTCCCACGGTCTAGAGTCTAAGGAACAGTATCTGAATTCAGAGCTGGGGGTGAGGGTAAGGCTGTTTTGTCCAGACTTCCCTTGGTAGTTGAAAGACCCAGCAAAGCCCAGTCACGGTTCCACAGTGAGACTGTGTGCCGGTCTGATGTAAAGGGTCGCAGTCCAGAGCTTTCTTCCTGCACAGCTGCAGCCTGCTGGTCACTGCATAGGCTGGGCATGATGTGTGCCCTGCTGAGAGTGGGCAGGATCTCCCCTCGCTTCCCTATGCCTTTCTGCATGGTTATTCTCTAGTGGCCAGCGCAGAAATTTGAGAGGTTAATTAGGAACAGCAGTGAGCAAAATTAATTTAGGGAGCATCCTGACAAGGATCAACGAAAGAATAAATAAAAAGTGTTTAATTCCCAGGTGCCTTGTGTCGGCTGATAAAAGCAATGGAATGTGGTTTCCTTAAAATACGCTCTTTGAATGATTAGGTTCAGAGACACATTTTTACTACATTTCTGTCTTTTTAGGCTCAACAACATCATCTTCCACTATCCATAACGAAGCTGAGCTTGGTGATGATGACGTTTTTACAGTAAGTTTCCGTTGTCCTCCACTTTTCCCCTTAGGTGGTGAATAAGTAGAGAAAGGTTCCTCAAGAAGGGTGTGAGAACCACACTGCAAGGTGGCTTTGGCTGTTGCTGTGTGGAGGCCACCAGAAATGCCCGCTCTTTCCCATTCTTTGTGTGCTGGGTTACTCACTGCCCAGTTACCATCTGCCACACAGCACAGCAGTGTGAACTCTCCTGGATCTGCCTGCAGTTTGTGCAAAGTCTTCTCTTGGAGTCAGGGTGATTCACTGCTGTGGGTTGCCTGGGATGGCCCAATTTTAGCACCCAGAGTTCCTGGTCCTGGGAAACACCTCATCAATCCCAGGCACACCAAGACATGTGGTCACCCTGCTTAGAGTCTTCTGCTAACACCCTGCCTGGCTTGCAGAGGAGAAGCCAGAATTACCCTTCCTGATGAGTAATTCAACATCTGATAAGAAAGGCGTGGAGTCTGGGTTGGGGTTAGGTCTGTAAGTCCTCAGGGAGGAACAGGCGCCTCAGTGTTTTGACACAGCTGGAGTTAACAGGAAGTAACTGGAGACGAAATGATTTCTCCACTTCTTTTAAATCTTGTGCCTCTAGTAGTTAATTAAGAAACCAGTTCTTTACCTGTTTATTTGTGTGGTTGAAGGAGCAAGTGGCTGTCTGGCAGCATTTTCAAACCAAAGGCTTTGACTCAAAGTAAGAAGTGCATTTTTGTGACACATATCAATAGACACTTAAAAGAAAATCATGTTTTGTGAAACTCTGCATGCTGATTTTTTTATTTTCATTTTTTTATTGTGAAACTTTTCAAACACAAAAAGATTAAATAACGTACTGTGTATGTATTCCTAGATTTAGCATTTGTAACATTGACACGTTTACCTAATTCATGGCAATACATAAAATTATACACATAAATACAATGGCCCCCAACATTTTTTTCCCATTCCATTTGAAACCAAATTTTCCCCTAATTCTTTCATCGTGTATTTCCTTAAAAAGAAAGCATTCACAGAATTTTAGGTAGTAAAACTAACTCTGTAATGGTACTACAATGGTAAATACAAGTCCTTTTATATTTGTACAAATCTAGAGACTATGCAACTCCAAGAATGAACTGTAAGGTACACTGTGGACTTGGCTAATGAGAGTCAGGGAAGTTCATTGATTGTAACCACTATACTCTGGCTGCAGATGCTTACTGGGGAAGGGAGTATATGGGGAATCTCTGTACTTTCCACTTCCTATTTTGCTATGAACCCAAAATAAAGTCTGATAAAGGGATTTTTTTTAAAAAAGTCATTTCCTCATACAGCCTTTCTTTTTCTTTCTTTTTTTTTTTTGGAGGGGGGTACCGGGGATCGAACCTAGGACCTTGCACTTGGGAGGCAGGCGTGGTGCCACTGAGCTAAATACCTGGCCCTAACCTTTCTGTCTCTGAGAAAATTAATAAGAATTCCATGTCATCTACTATCTAGTTCACAATTTCCCAATTATCCCAAGACTTTTTTGTAAGCTGGCTTTTGTTTCATGTAGTATTTTTAAAATGCTGAGTGTTTTTTGTTAAATTTATTTCCCAGTTCACTCACTGTTTGCAGTTCATGATATGAAACATGCTACTTTGGGAATAGAAAGGTGTGCACGAGCCATGGCTCCAACCGTGTGGGCGGCACCAGGATGGTTTAAGAGGTGAGCTGGACTCACAAGGGGCCTAAACACTGCACCTGTGAGAAGTCATGGACTAGAGATGAGGGAAGGAAGTCTAGGAGGTGAGGCTGGCCGGAGCTCAGTGGAACTTGGACTGGGCTTCGGGGTAGGGCTGTAAGATTAGGGAGCCCAGGGACAACGGCAGAAGCAGGGGTATGAGGGCTGAGTTGCCCGAGAGCTGCCCATCCCAATCAATACGGGCAGAGCGTGTGGGGACTGCCAGGTATGGCCCGCGCTGGCCTGCCCTAGAGCACTGGTTCGGTGTGGGTCTGAACAGGCTTCCTCTAGTGCTCCAAGCAGATCCCTCAGCAGTTGTCACGTTGCTTACATCTGTTCTTTTGTCACGTTTCGGGAGACAAACAACAGCAGGCGGGTTAAAAGGTGGCTTCCTGTGCTCCAGAGCAAAACTGTCATTCGCAGCTGCTTCCCAGCCACCTGCCAGAAGTGATTTATAGAATCAGGAGAGGGTGAGAGGGAAAGGGATGATGGAAGCCAGAATCCCTCCAAGTTTTGTCCTTTAGGGTAAGGCAGAATGCCTAGAAGCAAGTTTCGAAATAGTCCTCTTGCTTCCAGATGCTTGGAACCTCGCTGGAGAAAGAGCTCCACTTGCTAAATTGCATTCTTTGTAGGCCCCGATGATGTACAAGGTCAGTTGCCTTCAGATCTGTTTGTTTACAAACAAGAGCCTATTAATAGTGGTACCTCCCGTTCCCCGGAAGAGCCCTGTCTAGACTGCTGACTGTTAGGAACATGCTCCACGGAAAAATGGGTATGGGGGGGTACCTTCCGGATTCCCATTTGTTCATGAGCTCCTTGCTGTTAAACTTTCTTTCCCAAGATTGTAATTAAGTCTGAAACTCAAAGCCAAGGAAATGAGCAACCACTTTATCTCCTGTGCAGCCAATAGCTTCCCAGGTTTTGTTGTGCTCTGAAATTTATTAAGGAAACACAGATATTTACAGATTCATTTATCAAAGAAGGGCTATAAATAGGCAATGCTTAAGGTGGACCAGACTTAGCATCGTTTTCTCAGAGAACAGCATGCATATGAAAAACCTTTAGAGTTGAAACTTGAGAAACCAAGGGTGTATTCCAATTCTGCCTCCAGATCTGGAGGTTGCCCTGTTTCAGGAGGTTCCGTGGAATCCTGGAATCAGAAGCCTGGTCCCCACTGTGTCCATGTGGAAATGGTTGAACCTTTCCGAGACAGCCTGGTGACCTGAGGATTTAGTTTAGGTCATGGGGACATTGTGCTCAGAAGAGATTAACATTCTGTTGTGACCCCTAGTCAGTTTTCAAGATAGAGTTGTTTCTGTGGCCTTCCCTTTCACCACCCTCTTGGCTGCTTTTGCGCGGCCCCCACCATTGTAATGCCATCACAGGGGCCTTCACCAGAGCTGAGCTGATGCCAGTCCCATGCCCTTGAGCCTGCACAGCTAAATAAACCTCTTTTTGAAGTACGGAGCCTGGAGTATTTCATTTTATTTTTTGTTTGTTTGTTTGAGACAGGGTCTCACTATTTCGTTGAGACTGCCCTGGAACTCACTGTGAAGCCCAGGTTGGTTTCAAACTTGCAGCAATTCTCCTGCCTCAGCCTCCCCAGTGCTGGGATTACAGGCATGCGCCACCACGCCTGGCCTGGAGCATTTCATTTTAATAGTGGAAAACACTGCTAGGGGACTAAGCCTAGTGGAAGAGGATACTTACCTAGCTGCTGCCCCATGTGTAGCTACGTGGATTTGGGAGCTCACAGTATGTGCCCTGTAAGCCCACACCTCCCCAGCCCTCACATTTCCCCCCTCCTAGTCCAGCTCGTCCTGACTTCTTGGGATGGGAAAGCGGGTTCCATTCCCGGAAGAAATGCTTGCCCGTGCATGTTGTTACCAGTTGCCAACTCTTTGTCTTTGGCCAGCCGCTAGGCCTGTCCACCTCAGTGCATTGCCTGGCCGGGAGCCTGACTGTCCTTCGTACCAGAGCTGCTACCAGAAATTGCTGACTGGTGATTGCTCTGCCAGAGTTGCGGGTATTTATCAGACTTACTTCTTAATATTTCTCTGTCATCCAATTATAGTTGTTCTTTCTCCTTCAAAATTCGATAGCACTTTTTCCTTTTATTTCCCTCTTGGCATTTGAAAGCCTGCCTTTTTCTCTTTCATGTTTTCTTTGCTGAATGAGTGGATTCTCGCCTAGCAGACCACAAGCACGCTGTGTGTCACTGTAGCCTCTGCAGTCTGGTGAAGCTTCCCTCCGTAGGTGTTCAGTGAATGGGGCATCTGAACACCAGATTTAGTGTGTCCCGACTGAAATCTGCATATTTTATTCATTTGCACTATTTTTGCTATTTCTACCTTTAGAGACAGCTCGATGAGTGTTTCTCAAGTTTATTTTTGTCTTTTGGGGCGTTTTTGTTTTGTTTTTTGTTTTGCTTTTTTGTAGTTTTGTGCTGCTTTGCTTTTTGTAGTACTGGGGATTGACCCCTAGTGCCTGTACACTGAGCTCACATCCCCAACGTTGTTATTTATGGACTTTTTATTTTGACACAGGATCTTTCTAAGTACCTAGGCTGGGCTCACATTCGGCAGTCTTCCTGCTTCACCTGCCCAGAGTGCTGAGATTATAGGCAAGTGATGCCCATTTTATAGGAACAGTTTTCCAAATTCCTGTTGGTAAAGTGTGATCCATTAAAACCCAGTGATTTAATGACCGCTGCAGAATCTTTTTAAAAAATGTTTTAAAATGTGACTAGCGTCTTTGGTGGTGGGCAAAGGAAATTTTTCGGTGCTCTGGGGAGGACTCAGCTGCAGTGAGTGTGGACTTCAGCTGTGCTCAGGCCCAGTTCCCGGGCTCTCACTCTCAGCAGGGGATTAGGAAAATATCTGCCTCGTAGGAGGGTACTTAGGGGTGTACCTCTAAATTTTCATCTAAGTCTGAATCTGAGAAGCAGGAAGTACTAGTAGTACAGCTATGGCATTTTTTAAATGGAGACAAATACCAGACGAAAGAACCACAAAAATGGAGAGTAAATTTCTCTGGGTAATGAGAAGCTGAGACAGGGAGGACCATGTGACAAGGGATTGCTGTTTTTTTTCTTCTTTTCTCAGTACTAGGAATTGAATCCAGGATCTTCACACTGAGCTACATCCCTATTCCTCCCCTCCCCTCTTTTTCCTCTTCCTCTTCTTCTTCCTGGCTCTCTCTCTCTCTCTCTCTCTCTCTCTCTCTCTCTCTCTCTCTCTCTCTCTCTCTCTTTCTCTCTCTCTTTCTCTCTCTGTCCCTAGGTCATCGAGTTGTG